AACCAGATCCCGCTTCTCAGTTATGGGTGCAGCTACGGGCCTGAGAAGAAAAAGACTTAAGATGTAATATTCTTATCATAAGTACCCTCTTGATTTCTTTTTGAATTTATAGGCATTTGTAAACTCTGGATGCTTTTCTTGTCGATTTCCGTTGTGTTGGAGAACGAAATGAAATTCGGCCACTTAATAAGCAAAATCGTAGTTTCACACTTTGTTGCACGCTCCGAGATAAAAAAAATACAATGAAAAAGAGATCAGTGAGACATAATGATAATTCGTTTGTGATGAATAATCATTTTTATCCCTGCACACGCATCCATGTTACTTAAACTCCGATATGGCTTGTCAGTAAACAATGCTATTCAGCCTTTACAAAACTGGCTGCGATTTTATACACGCTTTGCATTACATATAGCTGATGCAAGTACTTTTAGTCGTGCATTCTCCTTATTCTCTGACAACCCGTTCAAGTGAGAAGCACTCATTAATTTGATTGCAAATGCTTTCTCTCTTACCAGGATGCCATCCAAGAAAAGTGTTTATTTGTCTAGATGCGTGATCTACAAATTCATAGCTTCAATGCAATCAAAGGACGGTCATGATCATTTGAGTGTAGGAATTCGCAAGAGTAAAGAAGGAGACCTTATATTACCAATACCAAAAAAGTCACTTTACAAAGAAATGTCAGGTATTGAATTATACAATATTGCAATATGAAACACAATCATGGGAAACAATTAAACACACGAAGATTTCTCAATCATAAATCGTTCATATACAAGTATACAAACTCAACAACTGGTGAAAGCAAGCAAGCTTTATCAAAATTGGCAAGTTCGTACATTATAGCGGAAAGGATATTTGAGGTTTCCTATCATATCCGAAAACAGGAAGGCATGCCAGGACGACTTTGGTTGTAAATTTCAATAACTTTCAATTAATAAATCAATTACTCAACTAACCTCCGACAGTACCTAAAACAGGTCTAGAGAATAGTGACATTAGTCACATTAAACACTGCTACAAATATGGTTCAACATGCAATTAGTTGATAGTTTCAGTAAGTGAGGCTGTGGTCAGTGAGAGCAGACAAACAATCCAGAGATCACTGTGAACCTCTTATGATGAAAGTGCTCTAAGTTTCTCTAAATCTCAGCATTCAAGTATTACATCAAAGTCGGATACAGAACCTTCTGATGGATGGATCTTCAGAGAGTTATTCTGGTTTTAAAATTGCAGCGGCTATCTACTCGAGTGAGGCTTCCACGCGATCGCTCTGGAGATTAAGACACGAAAAAAGACCATCCAACAGCTGGGTCAATGAGTGAGGAAAATAAATGCCAAAACTCGAAATCTGATGTTTTGAGAAATTGTTAAAACATTGTTACTTTATATTTTTTTCTCTGAATTAGTTCAATTATTGAGTCGCCAGTTTGTTACCTTTCCCTTGTCCTCATGCTTTGGTTTCAATTACGTTGTTGGTTTCAATTACGTTACTCTGAGTAAAGCGTCCAGAATTATCGTGTTATAGTCATAATTATTTCAGGTGATACCATTCATGGTACTTCTGAGCTTGTCACTTGGGGAAAACATTGCCTAAATGTGATTGAAATCTAATAGTGAAATTTTCATTTTCATTTCATCAGGGAAAAGAACATTCTCCATTTTATTTAATAGTAGTACTTCATTTACCATCACTGTTGGCACGTCCATCCAAGTTAATGGTATGTCTTTTTGAACTTCATAAATTTTATGAATTCGAAAATWAACGGTCATTTTAAAATAGGACGTCGGACAGAATGGCAATTGGCAATTGTTTGATGGTATTTGAGGCGTTGAGTGTCTAGTGGTTTAATCAAGGACATATCCACTCCAATAGAATTCTTCATAGAAATTTGAAATTCAAAAAAATATTGCAATAGATAAGCGTTGTTAAAGCTTTTACCTATTCGGCTTTCCAATCCCCGCTATCTTCAACAACATCATCACATGTGTCATCACATTGTTTTGATGTCGTATATTGAGGCAGCTCATACGAGATGATCGAACCCGYTTCATTGATTGTGAAAAACTCATGCGGAGCTTCACTTAGACCGAAGGCTTGCAAGATCWGAGCTATGGCTAAGAGCTAACGGTAAAAGAATCGGAAAAATGCACAGGATCGCAGGCACGCACGTCCGTCATGAGTGGTGATAGAGGTGTTGGCTGTATTCCTTTGTGTACAACAGCAATTTTTGATGTCTGGCATCGCAGGCACTTTTATATATGTAAACTGCCCTTCTTCCTCCTYATTCAATTCTGAATCTTGATTTGGACAGATTTATGCAGCAGTTTGGCGTCTTTTTAGCTGTGTTTTGGTCAAATTATTCTCCATTTGTCTTGTCCTTGTAGATTGAGTCGATCTCTCCTCTTCGGCTGCGGCTCCTGTTTGCACTGATTTGTAAATGTATTTTAATTRCTAATTGTTTAACAGTTTCCTACAAATATTGCTGTGATGGAAAGTACTGCCCTGAGTGTCCACTGTACCTTTTTGATGAAACCAATACATTGATTACTTCTATTTCAAACATTTCCTGTAAACAAACAACATTCTCATGGACTGTCAAGGATAAAATTCAAGTGGGAGAGCACAATTTAAAGGTAAAGATAGCCAAGTGTTTTCAAAATAATTAAATGAAAGTAAATAAATGGGACCTAGATTGGAGGAAATCATGCATTTTTCAAATTACCATGGCACATAGAGCATTCTTGGACTATGCTAGTAACCATACTATTTAGATACGAGAACTTGTGAGCATTCCAGGCCCGTATGCTGGGGGGTTAAAAGGTCCGGTGTTTCTCTTTTTTGTTGTTGTTGTTCTATTTTGAAGTTCGTTTGCTATGAACTGTTTTTGAGATAGTAATTCGTATGAATTGCCCATACTGGCAACCAGTTCTTACACACTACACTTTTCATTGAACTAGTCTAGTTAAACATATAGTTTAGGTCCGTATTATGAAAAAACGAACACACCCCCTCATTTGTAATGCAGCCTACGGGCCTGACATTCGTTATCATAAGTAAAGAGAGCCATGGTACGCAGCTGAGGTAGAATACCATGTCCACTGTGTGACACTGATGATATATAAAAATTGAAATATATCAAAGTTATAGTGCTTAGGAATAAGTTTTTTCGGGAAAAAAATTCTTGGAAACATATTGTTAAAATTTAATTTCCAAGGTCGATCCAATATTATATAACTAAAGATATTTCAAACTTCATCCTCAAGCATGTTTGTAATCACTGATTAGACRCCAAAGGCCACATCTCGCTAGCTACTTCGTCCATTACTACAGTATACTATATTATTAACGGATTTTTATATATATTGACATACTTAAAATGAAAAATAAAACGTGCTCAGATTGCTTTATTTATATTKGTTTTTAGATTTCATACGAGTGGACCTCAAAATTGTCGAAACCCTCTAAGGACATCGGAAAAATGATTGTGCAACGTAAGTGCGTTACAGTTACTTATAAAATATATTGTCCCATATAAAAATGAATTCGTCGYGCTTGCAGTTAATTTTATTTAAGCTGCCACTYTTCACCCTTAATCAATACTGAATCTTGATTTGRAATATTTTATGGAGCGCTTGTTTGTGTTGCTTTAAAGGGYGTTTTGGGTGAGCATGCACGGCAGTAAATAAAGTGTTGAGCACACAAGCAGAGATTATTCTTCATTGTACATTTGTCATATCAAATGTGCAGCGACGATGATCCTTGAATGAAAACCCAGTYCAACAATGCATGTAGCACCGCTGAGTAGATGGCTGTACGCCCCTACTCTTTTATCTGCTTTTTATAAAATGTAAAGAAGTAAAATGTAGTATCCCGCTCGTGAGAATGGAAATTCATTCAGCATGCAAATGCTAAAAATCGCATTACTGAGGTTCAAAACTTCACAAATTTGTAGGGGGCGGGATATGCCARATGTTTTTACTTGAAACGACTTCACCACATTTATGATCAAATGAAATCCAACTCATGACAAAATGTATTCTGTAGACTAACTCAAAATTGCTTTCTCTTTCAGCCGAAGTACTAAGACAATGTGCTTTTGCAAACGGGCTCTGCAGCTGGATCGATAAGAAAGATATTTGCAGCAAACGAGGTCATTATAGTATTTCAAGAAATATTTGTCTCTAGCCAGGAAATCCTATCCCAAGGCCTGCTTTTTGTCTGGCAGTGAAAATAAAATAAATGAAGCTGTWATGTGTTCTTGGCATTTGATAGATTATTGCTGTCACTTTTTGTCTTCAGTACTTGTGAATATTTTACAATTTTGACAATTAATAAATTTGTAGATAAATATCGTAAATCAAGATTGTTTATTTCAGTACAACGCAATCCTCCCTCACAAAGATATTTAAATAATGATATTCTAATTGGCCTATGGTTTAATAACTAGAGAACGCTGAGTACGTTGGGATCAATACCGCATGTCTCTCTATTCTTGAAAGCGATGTATTACCATGGAAAGCATATCACAAAACTACTAAGTTATGTCTAAAGCTATCTTATCTGATGAATTCGATATCCAACAGTTGGGTCTCTGTATCACGTGTAACTGATAACGATTTAAAAGTACTAGTTTGGAACATATCTGGTAACCATGGCAAAAAATGGAAACAAGCTTCTATCCCACTTGAGGCCATCAAATCTCAAAAGGTTAGCGGTGCGATATACAATTGCTCAGACCTTTGTTCGTTCAGCTAAAGCACAAATAGCTATATTTCAATTGCAAGATCATTTGCAATAAACACAATTTTGACACAGTATTTAATGAAGAAAATTTTCTATTTTATTTAGATACAATTTCTTGGAAATGTCCCTTTTTATGGAAATACAAATGCTTCAATTAGAAGTGTCAGTATTGTAACAGAATCCTGTGATTTTTCTCCAAAATATGCTAAACCAGGTGGGTTTATCTTAGTCAACATCCGTGATAAGTAAACCTAAATTGTAAAAATGTTGTATTTTATTATTTGTAAAGGTTTTCAATGCTCAGAGAACAACTTTCAGTGTATTAATAAAGAGTGCATCAATAAAGCGAAGAGGTGTGATGGTGATCCAGATTGCACCGATGAGTCGGATGAACAAGGGTGCATTTGCCAAAGCAAAAACTTCAAGTGTTCTAGTACAGAATGTATTGTCCCAGAACAACTTTGCGATGGAACAGAGAACTGCAAAGATAGATTAGACGAGAATCATTGTGGTAAGTTCAATCATAATTGTAGCATTTTCATAGCCATAGCTTTAGTGCTCAATTAATTCTGCGTTTTTACTTGAAGGATGACACATTACCTGTACATGTAGGATTCATTCCACTACTATATATTCTGCCCATCGAATGCATTTCCAGAAATTCGATACAGTCAGCGGTTCGATGTAAACACGCGGGCTCATGTATAAGTAAGGCAAGGTCACTGGATTTTAACAGCATAAAAGTAGTTTTCTTACTAAAAATCGACTTATATATCTAAGTTCATGCTCTCTGAGCTGTAATTTCCCTTTGTATTTAAAAAGCGACGCCTGTCTTTCATCTGACATATCTTCTTTGTATTGTTTTATTATACCCGCCAATATCTTTCACACAGGAAACCCGAAGTGCTTATTTTGCTGGAAAATGCTTATTTTGCTACATGAAGAGACTGGAAAGTTACTAAGGTATAAACAGAGACAAATGGCGTACTAGATCATGCAGAAGTACAAATCGCTTGTTTCTGCTCAAAACAATTCGACTAGGACCTTCACATTCCACAATCCGAGAGGACGAAGAATGGCAGTTCTTCAAAGGAAAATGGAAACCGGTTTAAGTGGTTTTACCTTTTTTAGCAACGAAATGTAGCTTGATATGTGTTCTAACGAATATGATTTGCGGAGATGAAAAATCCGCTAGTTAAGACATTTTTATGACGACTTTAACAACCGGATGTGAAGTGTTTTTAAGGTGTTCTTAAAAGGAAAGTATGGCAGCTGATGGCTATTTTGTGAGTATTTTCAACTGATTTTGGAACCGGTTTAGGACGTTGAAACTGCTTATTTTATATGGTCATATCAAAGACAATACATCAATCTTTAAAATACGATTTGCGGAGAAAGTCGAACATCGATAACAAAAGAAATATTTTAATTAGAATAAAGTATTACATACATTTCTTTGTATTTTATTGCTCATGAAAGAGCGTGAATTAGTCGACCAGATAATTAATGCGCATGCGTAGCGCCATGTTGTATCGAATTTCTGGGAATGAAGCACTAACAAGTTACTTCATCATGTCGAGGTTGCTCTGCTCATAGGAACATTCATCTTTTCGATGACTGAAACTACTGAAGTATTTAGCTGGTACTCGTTTTCTCTCAATCACATATTTTCTTGGTCTTGTAAAAAATAATACTATTTCCCAGGCGAAGTTTTAATTTAAGTAAAAGATAATCGAAATTCTCAAAGCACTTTGAAAATTTCGGAAATCCAGTCACGTTAACTCTCTTTGGTATTTTTGTTCTTTTTGATTTTGTGGATTGGTCTCACATTTTCTTACAAGGAGGTCAGTTCCAAGGTATATGCCTTTCTCTATTGTCATCTTCCACATTCTTGTTGTAGTCGTATCTAGCTCTAGAACCAGGCGCCTGTAGCTCTCTTTGCTCTGATCCACTTGTCCATTGCGTAAAGAAAATTTACATATTCTCTACTGCGTAAAGAAATGATGAAATCTGACCAATGTGGGTGACAGAATGATGATAAATATACCCCAAATATAATCCTAACCAAAGGTGCTATATCGTTCCCGTCGTGGTCACGTTTCCAACGCTTCTTTAGTGTTCTCGTGTGCATTCATCAGAGTTTCAAATCTGGAAATCAGCTTCAAAAATGGAAATTCGTTTAATATTTCTTAATCAGTGCTAAACATGTTTCAGAACCAGAATGCAGAGACAAGTACCAGTGTGCTGGGGGAAGCTGTATAGATTGGTCAAGTACTTGTAGGAATGAAAGCGTTTGCCCCGACAATTCCAATAGCCCAACTATCTGTGGTAGGAAATATGCACTAGATATTTTATTAATGTTCTATATAGATAGCAAAGTAGGGGAATATATACCAGAAGAGAAGATTAAATATGATCAATGGATAATAAGCATCAATGAAACCCTTTTTGGAGTTAGCTTAATATATATGTTTAGCTGCATTCCACTTTTGCCATTTCTTCAAACAGCTTTTTCTCTTTTTCTTGAGCCTTAATGATAGTAAACTGATATTACTATATGCTATGTAGTATTATTAGTTCAAACATTATTGGCGAGCTTCACTCTTGTGCCAATTTTGCAAAATGCAACTTTGCAAGGAAAATTATCGTTCGGTTCCACACTAACATCAACACTATTGATATCCTCTTGTTATAATGATTTTGAAAAACTCTTTCTCTTCGGTTTTCCCCTTGAAAAATGGTCGCCACAAACCCTGCAATGGTTGTTTACGCCGTATGCCTTACTTTATTCATGCCTGTATGTCAGTGTCAATGGTTTCAGTGCGGAATTACTTCGTGTTTTGAATTACGAGTGCCACACATTTTTAAAAACACTCTGCAACTACACAAACTTTACACCATTAGAAAGGAAAACTCACATACTTTTGATCTACTTATATTATTTTTGAACCTCGAAAAAATTTGACAAAATCTTTTAAAAAATTTCAAAAAATTCATTCGCGAAATAGCCAATCCGCTTCAGAATACTATTCGCCGCGAATAGGCATATGAAAACAACATGTGATGTCCAAATATTGTATTTCAGGCTGCTTGAATAACAATAGATTATTCTAATAACAATGAAATGTTGGATTTTGTTTGATTTCACTGTGCTAGCAATTCTGTGCTGGCGTCATTTTGTCATTTGATCCGTATTGCCACTTTTAGCAAGCTACCGAACTGTTCTAAGGCCTTGCATTCGTTCTTACAGGATTTCAGCAGGGATACGTTATGAAAAGTTCGGTTACTCCAAATAGGAAGCCTTTCTAACAAATTAATTTTAACAAAAATGTTTGGAAACATTCGGGAACGCCGGCCCCTCTTCCACACGCGATAGCAGCGGATAATTTAAGTAGCGCAAACTCGTTTAAAATTTGTATTTGTAAACTAGTTATTGTTACTGGGAATGTGTGAAACAATTCAAGACATCTGTAAAGAACGTATTTATTCGTGGTTGTATTCAATGACTAGAACTGCATTATGACTGGAACGTTATGATTGATACTCGATACCCGGGAATCGATAGTTTGTATTTATACACATATGAGCGATATTATTGTAAAAGGCACTTAAGCTGATAAGGTCCCTTTTGTTATCGAATCTCTACGCTACAGAGCACTGATCGCGGGCGTGTAGTTCAGGGTCTATTTGCTTTGACAACACTCATGTAGTCTTGCCACTATATAGCGCAAGCGGTGTGATGTCTTGCTGATATGCAGTAACCCTAACGCTAGCCCTAACCTCTTTGCTATTCACGGGACAATTCAGGCGCGCGGCGATTTCCCATCTATCCTTTCAAATCAGCACAACCAAGCCGCCAGTCATGGATAACACCTGATCATAACAGCAGCCTTGACGTTGGCTATTAAGTTGGAGTGCACAACTCTGGAATAGAGCAAATCAAAGCGTCAGTGCGTCGGTCAAAACGCGCATTCTCTACGTAGATTGGCTTCCAAAATACTGCGCTTTCTGTATGTTTTTTGTTTTTTGTTTTGTTGTTGTTTTGTTTGTTTTTTGTTGTTTTTTTTTGCTGGTCTACATGAGCGATGTTATTGTAAAAGGCACTTAAGCTGATAAGGTCCCTTTTGTTCTCGAATCTCTACGCTACTGAGCACTGATCGCGGGCGTGTTCTTTAGGGTCTATTTTCTTTAACAACACTCATATATATATTGATTTGTAATTTGTGAATTGGATCGGGAGATCCCGTTTGGGATATCTAATAAAGTTATTGAACTGTAACAAAATCCTTCCTATGTGATGAACTGGTCTTACCCCTTGAAGTGATTAAAACTATGAAGCGTTTCGAAGTTTTTTGATGTGACAACGTTTGACTGGACGGGGTCAACTTATTTGTCCGCGGACGTTAAATTTTTCATCGTTTTTGGTGTAGTCGGTTGCCAATGTTTTGTTTTTGTTTTATCGTGTTATTCCTTTTTATTGGTTGTAAAGCGCTTTTATATCTATGTGTCATTTTAATTCCCGTATTCTTATTTTTTTCTTTCATAAGGAAATTGCCCTTTAAACGATCTTGGATGCTCACTCAACGAAAGTAAAAAAGACGCGACGGACGAAAAAGCTTATTGCAGACACTTTTGTGAGTATCGATGTATCAAGCAATCGTTTATTCATTTGTTTTTGTTGCTGTGATAACTATTTGTACAAAATATTTTCAGCTTTGTGCTCATTTGAAAGTGGCTTTTGTGGTTTAAGCCATAGTAAGAATGCACAACTTAAATGGATCAGAAATTCTGGAAAGACGCGTTCAGATGGCACTGGACCACAGTCTGACCATACCAGATGTAACAAAAAGGACGGTAGGCAATCTAAACCGAACTTCTTATCCTCGTGTAATAATGTAGCATAGAGGCGTCTAAGATTCTTTACATTTTCTTAATGCAATTTGATTCTGCTCATATTCAGATACAACCAGCCAGATCTGTCGACAAATCAAAAGCTCACACTCGCCAATCATGTTTTTCTCGATGATCAATATCTTTTTCAGCGATCTTACGATTATGGGTTTTATATTGTCAGACTATAATTATTTTTCAAAGCATTCTTCACATCATTTGGTTTAGTAATTTCGTCCGCAATTCTGTTTTCCTCATGGCCTAGCTAATTACGATTTTGAGGCGGCCGCAATACCACGCATACGCTTGGAAAGAAATCTTTTGTAGTTACTTTAGCTTCCTATCCTTCTGAGCAGACCTTGAAAATATGCTTTATCGTGGTAATTAGCTTTTACTTATTTTTTTAGGGGATTATATTTATATTGATGCATCAAAAGGCAAAAAGGGAGATAAAGCAAGACTCGAAAGCGATTGGCTAAGTGCTGGAGAAACGCTATGTTTGCAGTTCTGGTATCACATGTGGGGAGTACGCATGGGTACACTAAGGATATTAATGAAAACCAACCAATCTGAAATAACTGTTTGGGAAGAATATGGCAGCCAAGAGGACGAGTGGCAATTTGGACAAACACCGTTAAAACCCGATGGCCAAAATCAGTACAAGGTGAGAAGGAAGAATTAAATCTGTGAAACTGTTTAAAACAATAATAGTCCAAATTGTTAGCTTGGGCTTGCAGTATTGCAGTATTTGGGCACCCTGTATCATTTGTGTAATTTGTTGGGATTCCTTTGTTGTTGGACACATGTAAAAAATAGCGGATGAGTAAAGTCATTAAGTTCAATCACAATCTAGCAGATATCTTCCTCCAATAAGTCCATCTGACGAAAATACCACATGGTGTCAGAAGTTCTTTTATTCAAGAAGCCACAACAAGATTATTTTTGGATTGTTTCACGATTTATGCTCTGAAAAATGCCAGAAATCTCCAGTTCTTTCGTCAAAGAGGAATTTGAAAAACACTTCGTTAAGCGTCGGAATACAATATTTAGAATTCAACACCCGTAAACAAGAAGCTGGAGAAACTGTTGATCTTTTATTACTGATCTCTACTGCCGTGCTAAACACTGTGATTACGGTGCTCTTCGTGATGAAAAGATCAGACATCGCATCGTTGTCGGTCTTTTGGATTCTCGTCTAAACTACAGATGGATCCAGAATTGACACTAGAGAAAGCAGTCAATGCAACCAGACACAGTGAAATAGTCAAGAAACAGCAGCCTATAGTCAGAGGTATTGAGGGGTCACCAGCAAAGTCAATTGGAGCAGTCCACAAAGCTCGTCATGTAAAAGGAAAAGGTCCCAAAGGGCCAAAAACAAAGCACATAATGCAAGAAAAAAAGGTCACTACAAAGCGGTGTGCAGATCTGGTGAAGCGAGCGTAAATGCCCCAGACGATAGTGACGAAGAAAGGGAAACTTTTCTTTTCTTCGTCAGAACAATGGACAATCCCGATTAACGTCAACGGAAGGACAGTCATGTTTAAATTTGATACCGAAGCTGATGTCTCGGTGATACCTGAGGCAGTTATAAAGAAGCTAGATGTTGAAGTGAAGGAAACAAACAAAGTGTTAACTGGGCCGTGCAAAGGTCAACTCGATGTTTGTGGTTCTTTCTGTGCAGAGCTTCATTCTGGAAAGAAATCAACTCAACAGACAGTATTTTTTTAAAACAGCCATTGCTGGGTAGAAAAGCAATAGAGGCACTCAACTTCGTTTCAGTACCAAAGCAAGTGCAACTATCAGCAAAAGATCCTTGTTCCCACAAGTGTTTGAAGGACTTGATGGGGAATACAATATTGATCTGAAAGAAGACGCAATGGCATATGCAGTCACAACTCCGAGCCGAGTTACCCTGCCCTTGATAGATAAAGTTAAAAACGAATTTGAGAAGATGGAGAGACAATGATGTGCCCTTATGGCAGTGGTCCTCAACCAGAAGGGAAAGGTTCGTATTTGTGTCGATTTCACGAAGTTAAACAGCTGTGAACGTCGAGATCGACACATTCTCACATCTGTTGACCACATCCTTGCTCAGTTGAGTGGAGGGACTGTCTTTACCAAGCTTGATGCTAATTTTGGTTTCTGCCAGATTCCAGTGTCTGAACAATCAGCTGAGTTAACTACATTCATCACGCCATTTGGTCGGTTCTTCTCCGATCGGCTTCCCTTCGGTATTACATCGGCACCGGAGCACTTCCAGAAGAGAATGTCGTGATCGATGACGTCCTTGTAACACGATAAGCGGTTGATGGCGACACTCGTTAGAATCAAAGAAGCCGGAATAACACTCAGCAGGGAAAAATGCGAGTTCTCTAAAGATTAAGTCACCTATCTCGGTCAAGAGATCAGCTCGTCAGGAATACAACCAGATCTAGACAAAATTAAAGCGATAATTGAATTAACGGAGCCTAAGAACACTCGCGGCGAAGTTCGTCGGTTCCTAGGTATGGCTAATCAACTTGTCTGATCTTACAAAGCCTCTTCGCGATCTACTAAGTCAAAAAAACAGTTTGCACTGGGTCCAGCCCAGGCAAAGCATTTACAAAAGAGCTAAGCTACCAGGATGCCATTCTAGCCTACTACGATGCCAACCGAGATACCATTGTTTCAGCAGATGCCTCTTCATTTGGTCTAGGAGCTGTCCTTCTCCAGAAACAACCAGATATTCAGTGGCGACCGGTAGCATACCATTCAAGGGCTCTTACTTGGGCATAGGAGAGGTATGCCCAGATTAAAGGGGAAAAGCCTTTAGAAAGACATTGACAGCCTCCTTCCACGTATTCAGAGATTTAGAATGCGACTTATGCGTTTCCACTACTCTATCGTACATGTACCAGAAAAAGAGTTGTCCACGGCAGATGCATTGTCCCGTACACCTCTGAAGGAACTGTCAGATGTCGATATGAAGCTTCAAGAAGATGTTTATCTCTTTGTGAGCCAAGTCATTGACAGCCTGGTAGTAACCGATGTGCGACGTGAAGAGATCCGCAAACACCAGGAGGAAGACGAAGTTTGCTCGCAAATAAAGCAGCTCTGCCTGGAAGGATGGACAGAGAGAGTAAAAGGCGGACTGAAGTTGTACCAGCCAAATGCTGCAGAGTTGACAATACAAAATGGTCTACTCCTGAAGCACTACGAGGTGAGATGCTGGATCGTATCTATTCCATCAAGCAATGCGGTGGCCAGGTATGAGCAAAGAAATGGAAGAAATTGTACGGAACTGTCCAACATTTGTAAAGACGATTCAGCCTAGAGCAGAGCCATATGAAACCCTCTAGCTTACCAGAAAATTGCAACAGATCTCATGCAGTACAAGGATAGCATGTATCTACTGGTGATTGAATATTACTCTAGATACATCGAAACTGCTAAGCTTTCAGCCACCACTGTAAATGCTATCATCAACCATCTCAAATCCATCTTCAGCAGACATGGATCCCCGAACGCTTGATATCAGACAATGGTCCTCAGTAATCCTCAGGAGAGTTTGTTGAATTTGTTAGAGTGTATGGCTTTGATCATATTACAAGCAGTCCATCATATCCACAAGCAAATAGAGAAGTGGAGAAAGCAGTCTACAGTGAAGAGTTTCTCTGGAAAGTCCGATGACCCATATCTTGCGATGCTTTCATATCGTGCAACTCATCTTGAGCTAGCATGGCTACAGTCCTGCCGAGTTGTTAATGGGACGAAAGCTTCGCACTACTCTACCGACAGCCAAGTCAGAGCTGAAACCCAAGTTACCTGACTGGACCACATTAAACGTTAAAGGTCAGGACATTAAAAAAACGACAGACTAGGAACTTTGACAGCCGACATGAAGGTGCGTGAACTTCCACGACTGAGTGGAAGGCTGAAGGTATTGTGAACAAAGAGACATCAGACCGCAGTTATCAAGTAGACACTCCTAAGGGTTTAGTTCGTCGAAACTGACAGCATCTTGTGGTCCTCCCAGACACCTCAGAAGAAGAGGAGACTCCAAGCGCGAGTGCAGAGCCTTCCAAACTAGCAGTTTTGCCTGCTAACACTACCAGAGTCACAACCTGCAGTAGTCGTGAGGTCAAATTACCAAACAGATACAAAGATTGAACATTAAGGACACTGTCTGCAGCCAAGTTAAATCTTTATTGTTAAAGTTTAAGACAGTTTTGTTTATTTTATAGCATTATTACAGTATGTTAAAATGCAATGGTTTATTAGCACATTTTGGTCCCTGAGGGGAGATGTAGTATTTGGGCACCCTGTATCATTTGTGTAATTCCTAGGATGCCTTTGTTGTTGGACACATGTAACAAAAATGCGGCTGAATAAAGTCATTTTAAAAGTCATAACTTAAAAGTTCAATCACAATCTAGTAGATATATTCCATCCGACGAAAATACCACCGGACTGTCCTTGATATTGCACAAAACAGTTCAAACGAGTTTTTAATGGAATAAGTGCCTTTACTCTAAAACATAATTTCAATACATCAAGTTGTTTGGAGACATAGTTTTGAGCTGTGGATCGGAAGAGGTTGGGAGAGAAGGGTCTGTCGTACGACTTCCATATATGGATGTCCATRTGCATGTCTCTGATGTACATATAGAAGGCTCTCATGTCCCTATAGAAGGTTAATTCGTTAATTGTATAGTAAATCATATGTGGTTATTCATGAATGCCGTTTATAAATATCACAATAGTTCAGGTTCCCTCAAGAGCGAATTGATCTCATTGCTTAATGGTTAGGTTTAAGGAAAATGTAGGGTCAGGCAATGGATAACGTTGGTTCGAATCTTCATATTTGTCCTATAAAAGTTATTTTCACTTTAATTTTAAGCCTTTTTCTAAGTTCTTATTCACGAAATTGAGACGTGAGAGCTTTTTTTGTCTGCACATCGACCGTGTACATGAACAACCACACATATGGAGGTCGTACGCCAGACACTTCTCAGTTGAGAATTGGATCAACTCGTTGTACTAGCTCAGACTACCCAAGAAAAATACCTCTGATGCTCTTTACTCTAAAGGGTTGAGGAAGCAAGAACTGTTCAACTGCTTCCAAGATTCTTCCCTAAAAGCCCTAACGACCGATGAATCCATCTTAGGGGTTAATTGGAAAAGGAATCCATAAAGCATTTCGGTGAAGCTCAGAGTTTATGATAGATAGCAGAAAAAGAATAATCCGTAAGTTGATAAAAATTACTATTTTTATTGTGTTCAGTTCGTCATCGAAGCAGAAACCATAGACGGTGATGAAGGCGATATAGCAGTTGATGATGTCAGGCTTAACGAAGGATCTTGTCAAAAAATTATTGATTACCGTAAGTTCAAATCATAGAGATGTAAGGAAATAGAGTAGCAACTGAACTGCATAAATTAAGCCGAATTAATTTCGCTTTAAGGCGCCTTTCGCTTAGATTAAATTCAAACTATGCAAATGTTGTATTTTTAGTTGTCGCCTAGGCAAGGACCACGATCGAAGGACACAGTCAAATAAAATGGCCGAAGACGGCAGGCGACAGAGCTGGTTCCTTTTTGTTCGTTTCGATCCTTTTATGATATAATTATAAGCATGTAAGCTTCCAAAAACATCGCTATATGTTCGAATTATATACCATTGACAGAGGCGGATCAGATTTATCAATTTGCATATTGTATGCTTTTATGCATCGTTAGTAGATTAGCTAAGTGATGAATCAAGGCAAATTCCCTCGAGTATTTCCTGTGCTGGATCCAACCCCTGTTCTTTGCAGATAATTGGTTTCAAAGGAATTGAAGTCGTTTGTAACTCGCCTCAGATTACGGAATTCGTTCGAATTTTATTTTGTTCAGTAAGAGAGAATGAGTCGTAATAAACCATGCTCCAGTTGTTAGAAATAAATTGATATTATGTACTTTCAATCTAATTCGTGCCCAGCTAATTCACACCTAGCGAAGCGAGTTCTTCTGCGTGACATATGGTGTGAGGAATTACTTGTTTTAGTAATGAATAGATCATCGTATATTATCGTAGCAAACTATGGGTTTTAATTAAATACAGAAGAATTACGTATCATAAAAATGCTAATCTAATTGAGCTTTTTCAGGTCAGTCTCAACCTCGGTGCTGCTATATCTCTCGATATCTAGGTAAGTTGAAATACTCAAAATGATGGAAACTAGCGGTAAACTTGTGTGAGCTGCGTTCGTGTTTCTAAAGAAACATTTGTGTACACCGTAAAAAATAGGTGAAACAAATTACTGACGTTTTTTCGGACGCTAATCCTTTGTCGGAGAGAAGTTGAGATACTTCCTGAGTGCTTCCTGTTCTTACACTAAGGCACGCCGTACCTTAGGTTGGAAGTGTTTTAAAAAAAAATTTCCATCGGGTATTACAAAACATTTAAAACGATAGACTGACACTGTTTTTAGGCAATAATGGGCTATATTTCTATCTAGGATTGATAACTATAAACATGACTAGGGAAATTCGCTATTTATTTTCCTATAGTATAGGTAAAAGATTGCTTTAGAAGTGCATGAAAATGCTTTCGGAAAGCTTCATGGATTAAAAATGTTCGCAACGCCTCTTTGGTATTTTATGAGGTTAGCATGAAACTGATCCTAGTGATGATAAAATTCAGTGAATTTATTATATATAATTACCCCATGCCGTATCAACGATCACTCCTGTCGTGTACACTTCAACGTGATTTTTGCCGTAATGAGCATTTGAAATATTATGCTTCAACGATATTAGTGCACCTGTTAATGCCATGAATCATGGTCCTACTTCGAGGAACCGCGGAATGGCGGCACGACGGAATGGCGGAAAATACTAAAACGCGAAAATTCAAAAACACTAAATCGCGGAATGAGATAAAAATCCATAAAAATGTATCTAGAAAAATCAACCAAGAACTGAAATTATGACCTATAACGTCGTGAAGTTACTTATCCATCCTAATGATAGTCGATAATAAATAAAGTTTTACTTAACTGAAATGCATCCTGAATATGTCGTCTAAGCCACTAAAAAGCCATTGATCGTTACTTAAACGGTAGTGTTGATGAATGTAATACCGCACGGCCGTCTTGTTTACTTTTATTAACGGGATTAAAATCACTTTGCCCTGCCTGGTGTTCAGGGTGTGAGAAATCTCAAGGAAAATTTCGAAACGTCAGGTAACAATACGACACGCAATAGATAGTGTGTTCGGTTTCGCATTTTCGCGAAAAAATAAATCTCTTAGAAAATAATTGAAATGGATTCGAAACACACCTAAAATGAAGAATGGGTTAAGAAAAGCGGTGAACCTTCAGCTTGGAACAAGATAAAGCTTCTCACTTCCGGACATGCAACATTACTCTATACTACTACTAAAAATTGAACGAGACGATTTGAGCACGCGTGACGTCATATTAGGACATCACGTTGTACAGGCGCGCTCCGAAGGAAATACAAGGAGTTTTCCCCTCCCTCCTGGTTATGACAGTTGGGGAGTCCCTCGTCCATTTTTTCCATTAATGGAATCTTTAATGTCTTGATTTTATAGATGGCAAATTATTTTCTAAGGGATTTACTTAAAATCGAAAGACATTGTTTATTGCGCGTCGTGAAAGTTAACTGTCGTTTAACAGCACCTATTATACATGTGTGTGTATTTAATTTATTTTTAATTTATCTTTTTGTTTAGTTGTTTGTATTTGAAAGGGATTTTCTCACTGAACCGTCATGTTTATTTTAATTTTCGAAAGGTTTGAGAAGTGATGACAGATCACAAAACAGATGTACAGTAAAAACACATGAATGTGTTTTTCTTTTCTATATTAAAAAAACATTTTTTTTCTAAGTACATTTTCATGGATTTTAATCTCATTCCGGGATTTAGTTTTTGAAATTCCGCGAAGTAGGACTGACCTTTTTCTATGCCAAACGCGCTTAACTTCGCTCTTCGATACACTCTACGGAGTGTCTAAACGTCAGCCAGTCGAATTTTTTTCTTAAAAAATTGTCGAAAAAACCGTAATTTCAATTAATACAACAAGGGAAATGCAAAAAAGACCGAAATAATACTGTTCGAAAAGTTTCAAACGCAAGCACGGTATTTTGAAATTTTTCGACTGCCTGACGTTTAGTCCAAGAACTAAACGTCAGACAGTCGATTTTTGCTGTAAAAAATCGTCGGAACAATTATAGTTTCAATTAATAAAACAAGAGAAATGCAATAAAGATCGAAATAATACTGTTAGATAAGTTTGTATAGTCACAAGCACGGCACTTTGAGATTTTTTGACTGCCTGACGTTTAGTCCCAGAACTAAACATCAGGTAGCAATTTTTTTTGTGAACAATCGTCGGAATAACCGTAATTTCAATTAATACATCAAGGGAAATGCACTAAAGACCGTCATAATAGTGTTTATAGAAATGAAAGAAAGTTATAGTGCTTAGAAGGAGGCAATTCCGGGAGAAGTCCCTTAGGAATAAATTCGGAAAAATTAATTTCCGACCTCGCTAGTGTTTAACAAGTTTCAAACACAAGCACGGCATTTTGAGATTTTTCGACTGCCTGACGTTTAGTCCAAGAACTAAACATCAGGCAGTCGATTTTTTTTGTGAAAAGTCTTAAAGCACAAGAGAAATGGAATAAAGACCGCAATAAGGGTCTTGTCAGAAATTAGCAGTGATAAAAGGAGGTTAAAATTGAAAAGTGGGTACTGGGATAAGGTGATGACATACCAGAGTTGTGGAAGTGACATTTTCTAACCCTCTCTGTATCAGACCATCCACTTCAACCATTACCACAACAATTTATCATTGGTAGTGAGAGACTATAATCAGATCATTGTTTCTTCATTTTGAAATTATTAGGATATTTGATAGGCAGTTGAAATGATAATAATTGTTTCACAGTATAAATAGTATAATATTTATTTGGTTCAATAGCCACAACAACACTAAGTCAAACAAAGTATATCAAATGTATAAAGTGAGCAATACTTAGAATAGATGCATCTAATGTCGTATATTCATGTGCCTATCAAATATCCTAATCCTTATCCATTCAAAATGAAGAAAGAATGGTCCAATTATAGGCACTACACCATTCACTTGTGGACAATGAAAAATTTTTCTGGTAATGGTTGAAGGGGGACGGGGATGGTCACGATATTTTGCCCGTCTAATATCAGTAGGGTTAGAAAATTTCACTTTCTCACTATGATTGGTCACCCTATTCCCAGTACCCACTTTTCAACTTCCACCTCCCCTTCTCACTGCTAATTTTTGACAAGACCCTTATTTCGGTCTTTATTCCATTTCTCTTGTGCTATTACTAATTGAAAGTACAGTTGTTCCGACGACTTTTCACAAAAAAGTCGACTGCCTGACGTTTAGTTCTGGGACTAAACGTCAGGCAATCGAAAAATCTCAAAGTGCCTTGCTTCCTGCGTTTGCAACTTGTCGGTGTTTGATCATATATTAGCTATAGCAAAACTGTCAAGTGAATAAAACATGTTTTGGATTAGCTTCTACAGCCTGTCCAATATTCCCGACACCAGAAGAGTGTCCGCCTGAACAACAAAATGACTGCAATGTTGATGGAGATTGCGATCGCTTTAGTGACGAAGATCGTAAAGATCTGTACAAGTGTTGCATTGACGGTTGCGACAAAAGATGTGTCCGTAAGTATATATTGATTATGGTTAGTACATATTGCCTTAGTCGCACTAAATTTGGCACTATCAAATCTAGTGGTATATAATAATGCTAATATGTCATATGCGGCTGCAATATTTAAGATTTTTCTTATCAAATTGTCTTATCGCCTTAGTTCCAGACCAAATTGAAGTCCGATGCCTCTTAGGTTTAACATAATTCAAATGCTAATAAGAATGCAGAATTTGTTATAGATCTGATTATGTGGACTCCATAGCACTATGCGAAACATGAAAAGGAAATAAAATTGGAAAGTTACATTACTAGAAGTTATATTACTAGAAGTTACATTACTAGAAGTTACATTACTAGAAGGGTACCCGTGACCCACCCTTTCAAAGCCAAAAAAGCGAGAAAACCATAGATTGATATGGCATCACATTGACGTCATATGACGTCACAGTGACAATTTGGTATGTAGGAACCCCCCAATGAAAATCCTGGATGCGCACCTGTTCCGGGAGAAAGACTCTTTGAAGTAAATTTCAAAAATTAATTTCTGACCACAGGCTGGGAATTTGTCATAATAACAAGAAATAATTTCAGAATAACTGATTATAGCGTATCGCTTATTCATTTTTTCTTCTAGCTGACAAAGTTCTAAATCCTGCTAAAATAAAAAGTAAGTCATCATAACAATATATTTTTGTAATTCTTGAGTTTTAAAAAAATCAAAAACTATTTGGAATATAGAGAAACACGACTAACGGGCTATACACTACTGCAAATATAGTCGTTAGTTAAAGATAATAACTATGACAAGTAGCTTTGGTGAAAGGATTCCAGTTGCACTCCAATTCCCTCAGGAGAATTTACAAGTAGTATTTTGTTGCGATTGGGACGATTATATTTGCAGTATAAAAGAGAGTGCTTGTATCAATGGTATGGTATCAGGGCGAAGGGAGAGAGGGCGTGGAAACAGGTCTGGACTATCCGTGATTCCAGGGCATGGGTACTAGCTTTTAAAATTTCAAGATGGCAGAAGTATCGTTCGAAGAGGAGTTACTCGATTTTACCGATGACTTAGACGATGCCCTGCAGAAGGAGTTAAAGAGACTCTAGATGATAAAGTCTTGAGTTTTATTACTGGTAAACCAGACTTTTGGAGGTTGTCTTGTCGGAGACGAAAGTAGTCTCTTCTTGTTTGCTTCCATTCTTCACGATATCAAATACTTTCGTAATGGCAGGAACACGAGACTAAGATTAACTATTGTATAAAAATGTGAAAAAACAACAAATTGGCTTTTGAAAAACATTAAGTTTCCATTTAGAAGCCAAGCGCTTTCAGTACCTAATCAGGTTATCTATAGCGACAAAACTATTTGTGAGGGATTAAAATTGGAATCCTTGCTTATAAAAAAGATATACATCATTTTCCTTGAATTAAATCTCTAATATAAAATTTTAAGATCAGCCATGTAATCAGGCAAAAGCTTTACTGATTAAAACAAATTATTTTACAAAGCAATCTTACCTTCTTCGCACGATATTTCTTGCCGCCATTATATTAGGCATGTAGTAGTGCCCAGTCACTCTACGCATCACGAATAGGCCAACAGCAATTTATGCCCCTTTCCACGCCCTCCCTCCCTTCTCCCTGTATGGTATGCAATCCTGAATAGCTGGTTTAATAATGATTCTTATTTTCAGCTTTGCACAACGACTGGCAATTATGGAAGTCATCAAAGGAGAAGAACTCAACCAGTTCATGGATAATGACGTCGCACCAAACATTTGATGATTATGCTTCCGAGTTTAATTTGCTTCCGGGTAATCAATCGTCATTTACTTTGCATTTTTAGTACTCAAATTGTTTCTTGTCAAGAGGACATCGCTATTATTTTAATCATGGGTGTTAGGAAAAGCTAATTAGAAGGTAACAGGGAGGTTAATACGTGTAATTGAATTTTACTTGTTTTTTTATATCACACAAGTGATATAAAGCCAGCTAAGGTCCAATTGAAAACAGCAAACGAAGTCCACTATGTTTAGAACACTCGCTGGTTGGCTAAAGAGCCGCAGAGGAGTCTGGTCCATGTTACAAACTAACGTTGTGTGTTGGATATTCCAGGTGTAAACATTTAGAATCATATACATGAAAAGCAGCACTTATTCTGTCTCCAATATCTTTGAAACTGCAAACACTCTGTTATTCTTTAATATGTAAACCTACCTGTGCTCAAACTTTAGTCACAACCCATAAATGAATAATTAATTCAACTCCAAAGGAATGGTGGACAAGACGGGCACTGAAAAAGCTTGTCATCAGAGGGCTAGAACAAACTTAAACTCCTGAGAGGTTCAATATTTTCTAAACTGTCTTGAAGATTAAACCCGTGGGGGGTACTACCTCCCCAACTTGGGTGGGGGTGTGCTGCACGATTTTACATACCCTACCCCAGACTAAAGGTACAAATTAAGGTACATTATTTTAGCGCTAAAAGCGTGGCCTAGCAGATACAATCACAGGCAAAACTCCACCCTACCCCAGACAATGAGACTATACCCTATCCTAGACAAAAAACTACCCTATCCCAGACAAAACTACTACCCAAACCCAGACAAATGGGCCAAAATGATACCCTAACCCAGACAAAACTACTACCCCAACCCGGACAAATGGGCCAAAATGATACCCTATCCCAGACTTGGAGCTCCAAAAAAGGGACCCTATCCTGCGACACTTACCCGTATAGCAAATATAGGGTAGTACCCCCCCCCCCCTCCCCCGGGAGATTTTACCAACATATCTCGAGTTTTCTTCTAGTTGTGCAGATAATGTGCTGTCAAATAAAACAGCGTCCATATTCAGTTTGACTCGAAAAATATAGTACTTGACTATTATCGTTGACAATTTTTTTCCGTTTTCATCACTTTTAGCTATAGCAAGAAATTACACGGTAATGTTTCTGAAAGGCAGTTCAGAAAGCACTTTGTTCTACCAAGACACCACTGGCAACTCGTCCGAACCTTTTCTGTGCTTTTATTTCTCATACCTGATGCTTGGAGAAAGCAAAAAGTCTTTAGAAGTTGAAGTAAAAAGCTTTGGAGAAGGGATCAATCCTGTTTGGTATGTCAATAATAATGTCAATGGCAGCTGGCAGCTCGGAAGTGTGCCTATTAGGTCATCACGTCCTTATCAGGTATGAAGATTTCAAAAATCCGTGAAATAATTACACAATAGTGAAGCATCTGTCGCTGATCGTTAACCTCTATCTTATTTGACAGTTTAGATATTAATGACTTAAACGTTACTTCAACCTAAAATTTTATTTACTTAGTCGAGCTTTCGGCTCACCGAGCCATTATCAAGACTGATGAAAAAACGTTATATTAAAAAAACAACATGAAAACATGAGCGCGATCTCCGAGAAGATCTTATGTAATGAGCTCGCGCGGTAACTAATTTTTGATTACACATAGATAACTTTGCCATATTATCCTTTTCCCTATTGCCTGACAACATCTCCTCTGCGACCAACGGCTTTCTTTGCATAAGGTAGATGTTTCCTTCCAGTCAACTGCGTGTCCCCAGGGGGAGGGGATGGGGTACTCGACCCCGTTTTGGATAGGTACATGCCGCCAGCGGTCTAAATCCCTGACCCTGTTTAAGACACTTAAAAGTAAAAATCCATGTTCAAGACAAATCGGAAAAATAAGGAATAGCTATCTACGCCACAACCATCAAAACTGCAATTATACTGACATCCATCAAAGACAACAAGAAGTTTTTGATAACACGTTAATCCTGGTAGAGTGAAACGGTATTTCTACTATTTCTACGGTATTTCTTATGAAAATATTACCTTGTCCAAGACACACACAAAATATATCGGTCTTTTATCTAAATTGTAGAGCCTGTTTAAGACAATTTCGGGCGAAATGTATACCCTGTTTAAGACAGCAAGGCCAAAAACCATACCCTGGCCAGTGGCACGTCCCCGTATAGCAAATAAATGAGAGTAACCCCCCCCCCCTCCCCCCTCCCCCGGGGCATCCTGTTTTGCTAGCATGTTCAGTCAGTTTAAATATTGCCTTTTTATCATTCTCTTCAGATCAGCATACGAGGAAAAACTGAAAGCGCATCAGGTGCTATTGGTCTTGGCTATTCTTACAAAGCCAAGGAACTATGTAGTGAAGATCACCGACAGCTTGATCACAGTAATTCATATTTCATGACTAATGTGAATGAGAGCTTAGAAGCAATATACAGTTCGACTCAGTTTGAAAAATATCGCAATAATTCTATTATTCAATATAATCTCCAATATAGGTCTTGTTCAAAAGCTTTCAAACAACTTTCTAAAACCAGAAGAACATGACCCAATGTTGTTGTTTAAGCTTTCCTAAAATACAAGGTCAACCTCAAATTGTGTGAAAATAATCATTTTCTAGAGCTATTTTGAATATTTATATTTGTGGTGTTTACTCGCTTAGGAAACAGGAAGACAATTTTTTATGGCGGTTTTATTTTATTTTCGATTTGCCTGAGGAAATAAACTGTTACTTACCTAATTTTGTACTTTTTAGTTTGCAAGAAAAACATCACCTCAGGACCAGGATTTATCGCTTCTCCGTATTATCCACTTTACTTTCCAAGAAACGTTCGTTGCACGTGGTACATCAAAGCACCACAAAATCACGTGGTCCGTTTAACCTTCAAATCTTTTGTTATGGGCTTTTCACGCACTTTTAAAGAAAACTTCATCGAGATTTTTGATGGAGACTCAACAGAAGGAACATTACTCGGGAGATTTTGCGACTACAAAACACCGAAGTTTCTCCAGTCTCAGTCCAATTCCATGACAATTATTTTTAATTCTGTTTCAAAAAATCAGGCGAAAGGNAATGAGATTCAAGTAAATGACTTATTGTTGAAAACAAGCAGATTTTCGTTACTTCAGGTGAACGGAATCCCAGGCCACTTAAACCAGTCCGAAACATTACCAATTTTAGTAATATAATTTCCATCACAAAATGACGGCTGAATCTTTTTCCGAACCCTTTCCATTTTAGCCCTTAATACTCAAATAAAGGTCCAATCCCATGAAACTTTGCCCGTCAAGGCTTTTTAGCATAACAAACGAAGCCATAGCTGTAAAGTATTGTATAAGACACGTGTAAGTTTTCAAAATATTCGAGATTTTATGCTGCGTCTTTGCGATTTTTCGACTAGTTTCACATACTAAAACGATTTCTTTTTTAAGTATCTTTGCCCCCGTAGTTGGGAATTTGGCCCACCTAAAGGCAATTGAGAGTGTTTTAACTGTCTATTAGAGTTGGTTTCGTGTTGAGGCATAACGGAACTTTTTGAGGCATCCTCGCTCGGCCAGGACTAATCTGTCATCAGTGTCCCTAGGTCGTGTCAACTTAATCCGATTAGTGAGTCAGACGAGTGGTCAAAGGGGCCGCTAGTTATTGCCTGCCCCTGTCTCTTTTGGTGTTCGGCCAGGGCAAAGTGATTTTAATCCGGTTAATGAATAACGTTCCTGGTGAGACAGCAGTGGCTGGTACAACAAGGACAGCGGTAATAAATTCAGCAACAACCGCTTGAGTAACGATCATTTGGATGAATTTCGTAAAATCAAGTGCTTTTTAGTGTCTAAGAGGACATTTCAGTGTATATTTCAGATAAGTAAAACTTTACAATAGTATTATCGACTATCTTATGTTGGATAAATAGTCTTCTTCACGGTTCCCTGCGCCATCTTGAAAGGTAGCCGTGCCTTTGCATCGAAGCGAGACGACCGTTGAGCGTGCAATGATAGAAACCTTCTTTCACACCTACAGACAGTTATTCACAGGTATCTATCATTGCATGCTCAACGGTTGTCTCGCTTTAATGCAAAGGCACGGCTACCTTTCAACATGCCGCACGTAACCGTGAAGGAGACTATTAAGCAATTTTAAGGATACAGAGATATAAACAGATTCTCGACTTGAAGTATTTCTCTTTTACGATGAATTCTTTAGTATCATAGGTCATTTTTGACCAGATTACATCAATAGCTCTCGAATACCGATTTGACAATTATATGGAGTCATTATCGGAGGAGCAGAAAGTAGCATTGTTTAACTTGATCAACAGGAAAGATGTGTTCGCCATTTTGCCGACTGAGCATGGAAAGTCCTTAATATTCCGCATAGCTATATTCACGATCAGATAGTTGTCGAATTATTTTTGCATCGGTTTCGTCCGTTATCGGTCTTTTCTTCACATCTGAAGGATAAATACAAACGTACCTGCAGTACTGTCAAATAGAATTATGATAGTTTGAGTTTAAGCAGAAGTAGGGTTTTACGTTTTTTTTAATTAAGTCCAGCCCAGGGAGTAGACTATGAGATACAAAATGGTTTCAAGAGTCAAATGACGAAGAATCGCAAAAAGCAAGGAAAAGTTTATCACCTAAGTTATAATGCAAGTGTCGAGAATTGGCACTACATCAAATATTTCGTCGCGTAGATTTTCAGTGGAAGCGTTGTAGATTTTCGTTACGCGATTTTGGCCSAAACAGATGTATTCTTTGTCTTCTAGATGCAATGCTATTAGGGCAATGCCGGCATATTTTTGAWRGATGTGTGCGAGCAMTTTTTACCGGGGTATTTTTGAGATCACTTATATTTGACATCTGGTGCAGCATGCGAACACTATTCTGTCACGTCGATGTAAACACACGTGAGTGATCGACAAAACATACTCTGTACTACCCCAAAAGTAGTTATAACAGTTTTAATCTCCCCTGACTACGTTAGCATGGAAGTGAGATTCCAACCGACTCCTACCAGAGGTTTGATTTTCGCTCGGCCTTACGGCCTCGATTACGGCGCTTCGGGAAAACTCAAATCACCTTGATTACAATCGAACTTTCGTTTCTGTGACGGTTCGGGACCACTCGTGGGCCTTAACTGCCCCAAATCGGCCCTCTTTCGAAGCGTATATTACTTGCTCAATTCATAGAAAGCTTCATGTGTGTAGATTAGGGTTTTAATTTAAACTTTACTTGATGATGTCATGATTGTCATGATTGTTGCCATGAACGCGAATGTGTTCTCGTCTGTGGTTGATAAGAGCTGTGCTTACAAAGCATTGCCAAAACTAGTAATGTTCCGGACTGTAGGCATCGTTTCTATTCGTTTGATTTCTATGATCTCTATTTTCCTTCCGGATTACTCGGTATACATGCATTGCAACGTGAAACCGTTTCAGTACACAACTTCARCAACAGCGTTTTGCTGATTTACATTTTGAGAGACTTTGTGAAAAGACTAATTAACGGCAAAAATATTATGGATCAATGCTGAAATAATGTCCACAGTGCATCATATTGCCCATTAAAATAGCGGTATACTGCACTTTAGTAAAGAGCAACTATCGTTGTGTTTAAGATGGATTGACAGTGATTTAGAAGCTCATGAGGACATTCTTGGTTTCTACCAAATCCCCAACATCGGTGCTGATACAATAACATTAGTAATTCAAGATGCTCTTACACGGCTGACCTTGTCAACAGATAAGTGCCGGGGACAATGTTATGATGGGGCGAGCAACATGCTGGGAGCAAAGACAGGTGTTGCTGCAACCAAAAGCCTATCCAACACATTGTCACGGACATTCATTGATCTTGGGTGTGAAGGATGCAGTAAAATCTTGTAAAGCCCTATCTGACACGATGGATACCTCAAAGGAACTGATAACTCTTATCAAGTATTCATCCAAGCGCGAACATTTGCTAGGCGAAGTGAAGGACAACATAGAAGGAGAGAGTTGCAATGAGGAAGACGAAATACCTGGTATAGTTAAGTTTTGCCCGACAAGATGGACAGTGAAGACTACATGTTACAAACGCATAACTGTTACAACTACATGTTACAACTCGATAACTATGCATCACTCTTCAAGGTATGGGATACATATCTTGAAAGCAAAATTGACACTGATACCCGGGCCCGAATTCTGGGATGTCAAGCACAGATGAAAACATTCCATTATTTCTTTGGTCTTCATATAAGCCAACGCCTTTTTGCACACACTGATAATCTTTCGAAATCGTTGCAAGCCAAGCGGATTTCAGCAATCACAGGGTAGAAACTTGCCTCTCTAACTCTTTCAACGTTGGAAAGCATTAGGAATAATGAATCTTTTAATTCATTTTATGGCGTTATTCTAATAAAGGCAAAAGAACATCAGTCACTCTCAGAGCCAAAAAGTTGCCAAAAAAACGACGTGCCCCAACACGCTGCGAAATGGGTTCAGGTGAGCCACAATATCCAAGCACACCTCGGGACTATTATCGTGCAATATTCTTTGAAGCACTAGATTGCTTAATGTATGCTATTAAAGAACGGTTCAAACAGTCAGAATTTCTTGTTTACAAGAATTTGGAAAGTCTACTTGTCAATGCAGCTCATGGAAATGACAAAGCAAAGGAAATGGATGAATTGTCGTCATATTTTAGTGGAAATGTGTCTCTGCCAACATTAGAAGCTCAGTTAAGCACAAGTGATAATATCAAGACTTAATATGGAGGTGGAGTGTTTTGATGACATTTTAAGCGCTGTTAAGTCTTTCAGCGAACATGAAAGACATTTTATTAACCATGTAATTAGAATCTGCCAGTTGATACACGTGAATCCAGCCACAAGTTCTTCAGGTGAACGTTCTTTTTCTACCSCTAGAACAGTAAAAACCTCGCTTCGTTCAAGGATGCAGCAAGCACGTTTTTCAAATCTAGCTATCCTAAATACCCACAAGATTAGACTCGATAGCATTTCCCTTKTATCTGTTGCAAATGCTTTCGTTGCACTYAATGACAAGAGAAAYATAAATTTTGGAGCATTCACTGTGGACGATTTTAATTAACTTTGCGATTGAGAATGAACAAAATTTAAGTTAGTAAAAGTAATCAGTGTTCTTGACTGTTTCCATATATTCCAGACGTTTGTTTGCCATATAAGAACATAAGTATGAATCAAGGATCTAGAGATCTAACTTTAATTAAAAGAACTTTTTCTCATGAAGATATTTAACAGAAATTTTAAGTCAAAATTTCAAATAAATTACAGCTAGCATTAGAAGAACTGATGAAAAGGGGGACTCTTTGTTCTGCTACATTTGTTCAACCCTGTATCTTAAAGGTATTAACTTAGCAAAAATAAAATACAAAATGTCCAAAAAATCATTGTCAAAGTCACTCAAACTGCTGGAAATCGCATCTCTGGCGTTCTCAATTGCAAAATTTCCCGGGGTGGGGCATGCCCCGGACCCTCCAAGAGACTCGCGCCTGTGGCGCTCGTAAATCTGTGACCAACACTAGCCCCCCCCACTTTTAAAACTGCTCCGCCGTCCCTGCTTACTACACTGTATTTTCTTTGTTTGCAGAAGTCTTCGAATGAATCGCATCAAAAAACTTCCACAAGATATTTTTGATCCCGTCACGAATTTGACTTATCTGTAAGTACCGATAGACTTGCCAAAACCAAAATGTGAACAGCAAGTTGCTCCATTATAATTTCCTGGAATTTTAGTTTAATTTGTACATGAACTGAAAGTGTTAACAACTTGGATTTGCTCAGTAAGCTGTGCACTTAAATCCTGGTTAATGTGGCGTGCTATTACTGTTCCGAACTGAATACTAATAGTCCTCCGCCTTGTTCCCTGCGCCATCTTAAAAGGAACCTCCGTGACTTTGCAACTAAGGGAGGCGACCGTTGACTTTGCCATGAAAAAAACCTTTCACCCGTACAGACAATTATTCACAGGTGTCCATCAGGTCAACGATTGTTTCGCTGCGATGCAAAGGCTCGGCTGCTTTTGAAGATGGTGTTTGGAACCGGGAAGCTGACTATTTGMGTCGACCAAAATACGGCGTTTATTTTTAAGCTGATCCAAAATAGAGTGGAAAACTCACAAAAAAGGCCCATAATATGCACTGGCACGTACTCACTATTGTTGTCGAAAAAATGCATTTGTGTATTAAACAGGGCACGACGACTGCTCGACGTTTAAATCATCAGGACTTTTTTCTGTGTAGCACGAMAACTGACGTTGCAACGCAACTGCTGTCGCGGCGAATGACACTGATTCGTACGCGGTTTTTTTTTCCTGCGTCTTAAATTAGTAGGTTCGGTGAGACGACTTTTTTGTGCTAGAAATCATATTTCAAATGATTGACTCATTTGCTTTGTATATGAAATGGGAATGAAATGCATAAAATCTGTTTTATAGGTCATGACAGATCTACCACATTTTTRAAAGATTAATGCTGTAGAATCAAACTGATTACCAGTTTTTGCATAAATTCATATTGTAAAATTTATTTAAGGTATCTGCAGCACAACAATATCTCATCCCTGCCTGATGGAGTATTTCAGTATCTCTCAAACCTCGTGTCTCTGTAAGTGTTTTTTTTTTGTAACTGTTTTTTTATATAAAAATAATAATAAATAAATCTTATTACGTTTCAGTGACCTTGAGCAAAACAGCATTAAAGAATTAAGAAGAGGTACTTTTAAGGGTCTACGTTCTTTAAGGCACCTGTAAGTAAAGCATGCCAATGTCGTTTGCGATAGAAAAAACTGAATGACTATATAAATGTAACTRAAATTTTCAAACACATGCGCAGAATCACGAAAATGTTTCAACGGTAAATTGTAGTATTAGTAGACGTCGATCAAAGTRTACCCATGACGACATTGCACACTTGAAAAAGTACCGACAGTATGTCTCAKTCACAAAGACGAAATAGTTTATTCTTGAAGATGTTGGTAATAAAATGMAAAGAAATGGCAATGGTGAAAAGAATTTTAGCAAATGCAAACATAACACTTTTCGTTTCACGAAATCGTTTGCCGAGTTTGCATTTACCCGAATTTTACATGTATTTACGTCCTATTCTTAAACTATTACTTAGATGACAAATGTATGTTTTTTGTCCTCGAAATGTCTAGTTTTCTTCCCCGACATGGCACTATTACTTAGAATATTCCATGGGAACACATTGAATGACGACCGCCAAAGGTTGTTTTGCAGTTGAAATATTTTTTTAGTGATTTCGCGTGTGGTAGCGCTGTAATGWCAGAGAGTTGAATTCTTCTTGAATTTTCTAGAAACCTTCGTCGAAACAAGTTGTTCAAGATTCCGCAATATGTATTCAATGATCTTCAAAACTTGAAAACAATGTAAGTTGAATTGAGATTAATTATAGATAACCAAAAACCATTATGTTTTTTATTATACTATGGACTTCTTCAATTGAATAAAGTCAACCTCCTACTATTAGTGCATCCATAACTCGATAAATGTACAATGCAAAAGCATGACGCATGCAAAATGGCGG